AAATATTAGTGAAGCAATATTGCATAATTTATTTTGCTAATATGTTTCTTAGTTTCTTATTTAGCTAATGTTTTGATTTTTTCACCATGTACAATCTAAAATACTTTTTTAAAAGCTAATAAGAACATTGGTAGAATTCATCTACATAAGTACAATACTATGTCTTTGGTGATAAAATACTATGTCTTTGATGATAATATATTATGTCTTTGTGCTAGAACATTGTGTTCATTGGCGAGCTAGCGCAGCGAGCCATGGTTCACGGCGTGAACCACATAGGATTGCGTAGCAATTCTCGGGGGTTGGCGAGCGTTAGCGAGCAGGGGGCGGAGCCTCCTAGTTCTATATTATTTCACAAGAATTTCAGTTCCTATATTTCTATTTAACACAAAGACTGTCATGAAGCCATGTGGAACACAAAAAAAAAAAACAAATTATGCATCGAAGTTGCCAGGTAAACAAAGCAAAAATATATAAAGATTACCATCAAATACACAAACAAGTAATAAATCAGAATTAAGTACAAGGCATAGGCAATAAAGAATTATATTATAACAAATTCGACGGACAATACGGTGTTGTATTTAATCAACTTCGCGTTGATTAAAACTTTGACTTATGTGGAGAGACTTTGCTTGACATTAACACCTCTTTGTTTATACACGATCAACTAACGCTGAGGTCATAGATCACGTATTTGTGTATCAGTGATCATCTTCTTCTCAAGTTGCAAGAGCCCAATTAAATGAATTCTGGTTTTGACTGGAAGAAAGATTAAATAAAGGTATAATTAATGTTTGATGGATGCGTATTTCGTCAACTGTCGAGAACAGTTTACAATTAAAAAACGTTTCCAACTTCAAAACTTAAAAATAAACTAAAATTCACAGAAAATTTCGTATATTTTATTCTCAATAAATTAGGTTATTTTATTAATCTAGATTTATTAACGATAACCAGGCTTAAATGAAGGTATACAAAAATAACCATGTCGATTGACTGCCACTTGATAAAGATGAGAATTTTTCATCAGTTAGGTAAGGAAGATTACTTTTTTATCTGGTGAGATGACCTTTTTCCTCTACTAACATTCTATATGAGTACTTTATTTTATTTTATAACCGTCGTTGAACAGCCGATCCAATTTCATGGGTTTGCAACTACTTACGTTCAACTCCGTAGCCTTGTAATTTTGAACCAATCCAGAAGACAAGGAAACTCCTGGATCAGTACCCCCAGAGGTATTGATTTGTTGTGGGAACATGGAGGACTTTGAGACTCGACAGATTTAACGTGCATCAGTCACCATTTACTACACGGGGAATCTTTGGCTGGCGAGGATCGAATCCACGACCTCTTGGATATGGGCTCAGCGCCCTACCGACCAGGCTATCCCGGCCCTCCTATATGAGTACTGCAATTAGAGCTGCTACAAAAAAACAGCATAATTTTATCAAAAGCGTGAGTAATAGTGAAGTTGTTGTTGTTGTTGGCTTACATCGCACAAGATCTGACCATAGGCAATTGGTGACGGTGTGAGAAGAACGATTTTGATCCTCTGCAGAGGGGATGGCTCCCCTGCTTCGGTAGAAGGACTCCGAGCCAAGTCGAGTACTTCACGGTAGAACAGTTTAACGAGTACCGATACCGCACAACCTCGGTCCCCTTACAGGCTGATCAAATTGGTCACCCACCTGCACTGACCTCAGTCACTGATCCTTAACCTCAGTGTTTTACTAGGAACCATATCTTAGCGATCATTTGGGACACTGTGGAACAGAAATAATTTAGACTTCCCATTTCATAAAATACGCTACATAGATGTAAATCTGAAATTAATCGTTGTAATATAAACTTCTTTCACTAAATATTTAGACCAGTTTTGAAATAAATGATAAAAACTCAAATTTATTTTTTTTAAAAAAAATACACAAATATAATCCACGTCAAGAACCTATCGTAAAAAGGCACGATTTCATGAAAAAAATTTGTTAATAGGGTGTGATTTTGTAATTCCAATTTTTGACTTTTTTGAATTTTTATTTAAAAAAATTATAGTAGAATCTTCTCCTAGGTGAAGACTAACTTTACAACAGTTTGTATTAAGATAAATTTGAAGTTTTGGTTTTTACGAAAAAAATATTGTGACATAGTTTTTATTATTTATCATTTAGCATCTGAAAGAATTTTTTAATGCATAATAGTGCTTTCGTGCTTACAAAAACACTCGAAGAAAGACCATTAAAAAACATTTAGAAAAGAGTGCTTCTAAACATTAATTTAAATACTTCACTTTAAATAGGCGTATCCAGCAAGGTAACAACCTCTTTCTCGAATATCTGTTGCATAAAAATAGCAGCCATTCAACACTTGAAACTAAATTACAATGATCGTTAAAAAAAATTACTAAGCACTAAAGGGTGTAGTTGTGTTTCCATATAAAGTTCAAAGAAACCATTCCAAATGTACTGGTACGATTTGTTGCAGATATTAGGTTCAACAATTACAGATTCAATTATACTAATTAGTACGTGCTCTAGTACACATTAGGGCGGAATGTTTTGGCTTAAACTCTAATTGCGCCTGATCTCCTAACTTTCGAAGAGATCAATTCAATTAGGTCCCGAA